TTAAAACGAATATTTGTAATTTAAAATACTGAATCAAACGAAAAAAAAACCCCCAAAAACGACTTAGCCGAGCCGAGCCGAGCCGTCATGCCATTTGGCTCGGATAGCTCGGCTCGGCTTGTGAACAGTAACTGAAATTTGCCTCTTTTATATTTACTAGTTTTTGCCCCATGTTATGTTATTTTTAAGGTAATATTAGCGTTTTGAATGCTAAGAATTTCTTTCCAACATAAGAAATTCACATGAATGTGTTGTGTGTAACTTTCTTCGTTGATCCAAGAGAACAGATACTACATCTGGATGCTCTTCAATGACAAAAAAAACATGTTTTAGTACAAAATAAACATGTTGTATTGGACACTATGGTGAATGAGATTTTAACATTTTTTTTCCTTATTACCAAACATGCTATAAACCTAGGACATAGGAATAAATGTAAAAAAATATGTATTGTCATACTTACTATTTCTGATACATCTTCCTCTTCAAGAATAACAGCAAAATCATTGACATGTCTCTTGTATGAATAAATTATTGAGTCCTTCGCCTTCTCTTCACTATAAGAAAATAAATTCACCAAACTAAAGAAAATAAGTGATTATGCATACTACAAAATAAGCAGATTTCTTGAAAAAAATGTTCTAAAAATCCATACCTTCCTAGGAATAAGCCAAGAAACTCGTGAGTTCAAACTTTTCAATAATATCATAAATGACCTTCTCCATGTTCACTGCCTTCATGAATGTGAAGCGTTCCTTCATATTCAGCAAGCTTACAAAAATCTCCCCACCTTCCTTGCGAATTTGAAAGTAGCCTCTCCTCGACTTCTCGAAGTTGACCACCATGTTGACTCTTTCCTGCCCCTTCTCCACCACCTCCGAACCATCAATTCCACCTCCATCCCAACTCGAAAGCACCGTCAAATGTCGAAGAAAAACGAAGGAACGGTGTTTAGAGAAGAGAGAGAGTAAAAAAAGGCCGATTCAACAATATAACTAAAGAAATCGAAAGAAACATTTAAAAACATTCTTATCTAAGAAAATTCAAAATCAAAAGAGAATCAAAGAAGATAAATTACCTCAAAATGTATTATGTCCAAATCCAAAAGAATCAACGATTTTAGAAAAATATATATAAAAAAAGCAAAGTATGAACTTACGTGGGACCGATAGTGAGATTGAAGAGTGAAAAAACTTGGAGTTGCGTAAAGTTTCAAGCCAAGATAAGGGGCACGATAGCTGGTGCTCACAGGCGATGGAGATGTGGAAGGGTGGAGGCAGGCGATAGAGATGGGGTGCGATTAGAAGAGTGGGATGCCAAATTTCTATGGCAACTGAAATTAGGGAGAAAGAGAGAGAGAGAGAG